TGGTGTTTTCATCCCTTTCTCAGCAGATTCAATTCCTCTGCAAATGACACTAAGATTGTTTAACCCCATCTTTCCCGGTTCATTTTACTTTTGCACTTTCAGCTCAATTGTGGAGAAATTATTTACATTGGAAGTTCTAAACCAATGGGCAGAGAAGGATTAAGGGTATTAATTCTACTCACTGATTTTTGTCTGTCTGTATTATTATTATTTATTAATAATTTTACACAATCCAGTTGCCCAGCTTTGCAGTACTGTGACTCCATAAATAATATATGAGTTTGTGTGTAATGTATAAAACATGTTTTTATTGGGGTCTGGATTGGGCAATAAATAAATGTACTACTTAATTATTAAATGTTGGTCTGTGTGCGTATGTGTGTGCATGTTTTCACAGTTCTGCAGCCACCTACCAGGACTTGCCCAGGCAAAGTGGGAACTCTGTCAAAATTCACTCCCGCTTTGACTGGGAACACCCATAGTCTTCTTGCCCAGACAAAGCAAGGAGCAAAGTCAAGAGTGAGTTTTGATGGAACTCCTACAAAACTTTGCAAACTTGAATCAGTTTTTATATATAAAAACTTTTTACAACCCCCGGTATGCCCAAATATGGGAGGAAGATTACTACTTCCATTCTCTGTCCTTCGGCTCGTCACAAGAGACCATCCAGGCAGAAACCCAATATTTTTACTGTTGCCTTTTTGTTATATATATATATAGTGACTACCTCTAAAATGCTTATGTCCTCCTGGTTGATCCTCTCCAATAATTTGAGATTACCTACCCTTTTATAAAAAATCTAGACTACTTTTAGATTGCCACAAAGCGCTGTGACATCTATTTACTGCTATCTGGATTTTGAAAATCAGATGTGACAGCTAGTCTGTTCTTCGTTTAATATTGATTGATTTGACTGATTGACTATGTGACATCATGTCAGTATTGACTTTTAGTGACCATACGGTTAGAGTTTCTACATGACAATGTCCCTAACCTGGTTTTTCATATCTTCCAATGGTCTATAACTAACTAACGGTTAGTTATCTGTCACTATAACTAAAACCATCCATTTTGTTGCTGGTTTTCCACTTCTCTTTTATTCCACCTTTCTCGGCATCAAAGTCTTCTCCGGAGAGCTTTACATGCTGTAACCAACATAGGATAATCTGAATCTGGTTATTTGTGCTTGAGTGACAACTCTGGGTTAATTTGTTTGATGATCAATCTGGTTTGGGTTTTTTTGACTGTCCACAGTATTCTTAGGTCTCTTCTCCAACACCAAAGTTCAAAAGTTTCTGTACTCTTCCTATCCTTATATATTTATTCCTATATCATTAATAATGATGGAAACATTTGGTAGTGCAAATAGAACAATAGGAAATAGCAAATAAGGACATTTTATTTATTTTGTGGCTAGATTTATATCTTGCTTTTTCTTCAGGAGCTCAAGATGGTGTCAATAATATTTCCTCCTCCCATTTGCCCCCACAACAACTTCTGAGGTGAATCGCAATGAAAGGGTAACTCAAAATGTTACTTATCTGTTTAAACGTGTTATATGGCCACCTATCTTATAGCAATGACTCTGGGAAGTATATAGAGTTAAAAACAACTTCAACAAAGGAAACCTTAATGTCCCCGAGCACAACAACAATCCCAGCACATAAGAAAACACTATTAACCTGTAGAACCTGCTTCACCTCCCAGTCCAAACGCCTCAGGGAGTAGCCAGGTCTTTAATACCTACGTTATGGAAAAACTAACTGGGTCAGAGCCATCCAGATTTTTGCAGGGATGCTGTTGCATTGCCACAGAAACAACTCTTGGATACAAGAAGGTAGTATTGCTTAATGGAAGGGACCTTAAATGTGTTAGAGCTGGAGGGGGGCATGCAAAGACAAGGGGAGATAACAGTTCCATAAATGTCATGTCAATCAGCATAATATAATAGTTTAAAATATTGGGGAAAAGGAATTATTTTGAATTTGCTGCTTAATTTAATGGCTTTGCCACTTGCACCTCCATGAGTTGATTTGAGCTCCAAGGTCAAATTGCTGTTTTCATATGTGCTCCAGCAGATGACAGTACCTAGCCAACATTGGTTGCTCTCAAAGGGCTAAAACCAAGCTCAAACCTAGTTAGCAATTCAATGGGAAGGCAACCAGGAAAATTTAATTTGTGGACTTAATTGGAAAGTTTAAAAAATAACAGGGAAGAAAGTAATAGCAAACCACATCCTTCTCCAGAAGGCAAGGCTGTCTCCAGAAGTCTTTGCTTCTTTTTCTTTGTGTATAATGTACCATGTCATTTTGGAGAGGAGCCTTTTTTAATTGTCTTGGGAATAAATATCCCCGCAGCTATTTAAAGTAAAAAAAAAACACTCCCTGTATTAACATTAAGAATTAGGATACCACATTTGGAATATTTATTTCTCCACCCCCAGATACTTCTTAATTTAAGATGCCTGTGAGTTCTTTGGCAAAGCATAGGTCAGGAGGGATTTCTTTTTTTGCTACAGTTTATTCGACCTACCATACATTCCTTTCTGGTGATATATTTCTCTGGTGGGAAAGGCCTTCACAGCATAAACAGAGCTTTGTTCTAAGTTTCAGGAAAGGCAACTGAAGTGTTACTTTTGCAAAATTAGGCCAGATCCTGCTGTTGGGGAAAGGATGAGCAAAAGTTATGGTTGTAGAAAGTATGCTAGGATGGAAAACTCAGCTATTTTTTTTCTGAGAACGTTTAAAGGAGAGGTGAATTATCCCCCTGGCAGGGAACAAATCGAACTCAGCTGAAAAGCAGTAGGAGGGGTTGGAGAAAAGTTTAGGGAAAATACTAACAGGGTTAAGTCAAAAGTGAATTGGGTTTTCTGTTTCAAGGTAACAGGCAGTGTTTTTTTTTCCTTTTCTCCTGCCACATCTGAGATTAAAGTGTTTAAAGTAAATGTAAAGGTTCTCTTCACAAATGTGTGCTAGTCGTTCCCGACTCTAGGGGCGGTGCTCATCTCCATTTCAAAGCTGAAGAGCCAGTGCTGTCCAAATACTGCGCCAAGGTGGCGCAGTGGTTAAGGTGCAGTACTGCAGGCCACTTCAGCTGACTGTTATCTGCAGTTCGGCGGTTCTAATC